GGGCTCTGCTCCCAGGGAAGGGGCGATGGGACGAGGGGAAACGGCCTCAAGTTGTGCCAGGGCAGGGTGAGGTTGGCCATGGGGAACAATTCCTTCCCCTTGGGGCTGTCAGGCGCTGGAAGGGGCTGCCCAGGGAAGGGGTTGAGTCCCCAGCCCTGGGGGCGTTCAAAACCTGTGGGGACGTGGCCCTTGAGGCTAGGTTTTGGTGGTGGGATGGCAGGGTTGGGTCAAGGGCTGGGCTTGGGGATCTCCAAGGTCATCTCCAACCCCAACGATTCCATGGTTCTGTGATACCAATAACAAGAAAACTGGGATCTCTGTATTTTAGATATTAAAGAGGCGAGTGCTCTGGTAGTGCCGCAATATATGCAGTGTATTTCATTAAAAAGCATGATTACCTTAATAATAATGTTAATTATCTTAATAGCACTGCTAAGTGAGTTAAAGAGGGCGGATCTCCTTTTTGCCCTCAGGCCTCTCACGCAGCGCAAAGATTATTTTCGCATTTATTCTTGCGGGTGCATTCAGTTTATATGGGGGAGGGGCGGCGTTAGGATTTCAGTCGATATTGTAGGCGGGAAAAATAATATTTTAAAAAATAATCAGATTCTTAATAAAATTTTTAATAAAATGTAAACAATACCACTTACATTTTAATTTTAAAAAGGCTGTCGGGCCCGTGGTGCTGTTGTTTTCACCCCTGCGACGCTTCCAGGGGATTTGCGGGATCAGATCTTCCGTGCAGGAATTTCAGCCACAGGAATTTTTAAAAATAAGGGGGGGGCCCGGGAAAAATGCGAGGACAATTCCTTGTTTTTAAGGGTCTAAAAAAAAAAAAAAATTGATGAGAGATAGAATTTGCCAGAGCTTCACTGTTCCGTATTCACAGGTTGCTCTCGTACGAGGACTCCAGCTCACGCTCGGGAAATCGTACTCCGTGCGGTGGACACCGGGAACCAGCACCAATGAAAAATTCGATTGTCATCCCAGCCCTAACGCTTCCAAGGAAAAATGCAAACAGCTCGGCTGTGTCTGGGCTGTAAGTAAACATTTGTGAACACCCAATGGGGAAGGAGCATGTTAAGAACTGCAACTTCATTTTAATTTTTTTTATTTTTTAAAGTTTTAAATTTTATTTTGTATTTTATTTTTTATTTTTAAAAGTTTATTTTAAATTTTTATTTAATTTATAATTTTTAATTTTTGTTTTTCAATTTTTATTTAAATTTTTAAAATTTATTTTTATTTGTATTTCATTTTTATTTCTTATTTATTTTAATTTTTATTTTTAATTTTTATTTTTAAAAATTATTTTAATTTTATTTTTTATTTTAAATTTTTTATTTCTTTAAATCTTTTAATGTATAAATTTTTATAAAAATAATATACAGGGATGGAGAATGGGGGTTGGGGTCAGTTCATCACGCGTCCCTGCCGCTCCTTCCTCCTCAGGGAAAGGGAAAGTCCTTTGACCACGTTATGAGGTGATATTTGATAGTAAAATGCAATTCCCAGTGGATGTTTTGAGAGAAATTTGTACGGGTCAAGCAATGCCCAGGGGGAGCTCTCCTCTGCCACCGCAAATCTTCCTGAAGGTCCCAAGAGGGACAGGGACCGTAGAAACCCAAAGGTTCCCAAAGCAGAAGGTCACGGGCAGAGGCAACGCTAAATTGTCATCGCTTTGTAATGGCACTGACAGGGCTGCACGGCCTTGAAGTAATTAATTATCTCTAAATTAATACAGAGATGGTGGCTTCGGAGCTGCTGCTTTGTTTTGTAGTGAGAGCGTGAAGTTTTGGGCAAAATTCTACATTAATTAATTAGCTGGCAAATTTCTCCATTAATTAATTACCTGGTGGTGAAGTTCTACATTAATTAGTTACTTGGTGAAGTTCTACATTAATTAATTACCTGGCAAAGCTCTACATTAATTAATTCCCTGGTGAAGTTCTACGTGAATTTGTTACCTGGTGAAGTTCCACATTAATTTGCTACCTGGTGAGATTCTACATTAATTCATTACCTGGAGAAGCTCTACATTAATTAATTACCTGGAAAAGTTCTATATTAATTACTTCCCTGGTGAAGCTCTACATTAATTAATTACCTTGCCAAATTCTACATTAATTAATTCCCTGGTAAACATAAGAGTTTTGGAATTCTTGCTGCTAAATGACAATAACCTAACACTCCCCTCACCCCCCCTGCGCCTCCACCCGCAGGAAGACGCCTCCCAGCCGGGCGTTCCCTTCTGCCATTACGACGGCCCTTACAACGCTTATTCCGCTACTGACGTCAAATACACCGCGTCGGGCGCGACGGCCGACCTCACCTTCCGTCCGCGCCAGCGCCAGGCCTACGAGCGGCCCGCGCCGCCCATCCCATCCCTTCGCCTGGAGGTGAAATATCACAGCGACCGCTTGCTGCAGTACAAGGTGACGCGCGATTTCCCCCAGCGCGTGCTCTTCCGCCCCTCAAAATAACGCTACTTCCGGGAATAATGTTTCTCGCGATTCTTTGCATCACGTGGGATGACGCTTTGTGGTTGTTCCTCCTTTCAGCCGGCTTTTTTTTCCCCCTGAGCTTTTATTCCCCTCAGTCTCAAGTCAGCTCCTGCCAACCTCCACAATACAGAAGAGCCGAAGGCAAAAAAAAATAAATCTCTCGAAGCCGGCTAAAAATTCAACCCAAACCCATGAAATTTCTTTGCTGCGCGTAAAAATACGCTCGAACCAATGGATTTAAATGATTCAAATGAGTCACCCCAGGCTCCCAAAAATAAAACCTTAAGGTTTGTTGTTTCCTGACCCAAATATTTTGGAGGAGTTCGAGGAAGAAAGCAAATTGAAAGGGAACATTGGGCAACTTTACACAACCATTTTAAATAATTTCCACGTTGCCACTCTCGACACGAAGCGATCGAACAATTCTGTGCCCAACCTGGAGCCTTCTGCTCCTTAGAGTGACTGCCATTGGCCAACAGAAACAGGAGAAAGTGCTTTCGCTCTTTTTATCCTCATTTCCGGAAAACATAACTTGCTGTTCCGTGCCCAGATTTATGATTCCGCAAAGAAACGCTACGAGGTGCCGGTGCCGCTAAATCTCCCTGCGTCCCCCGAGAGCACGGTCGAGGGTCGGCTTTACGATGTGACGATTCAGAATGAGCCCTTCGGCATCCAGATTCGACGCAGGCACACGGGGACGGTGATGTAAGCCATCCTTATGCCGTGTAATTTGCTGCATTTCCTTTTGCTAATTTAATTATTTCCCCCAATTTTGCTCATTTCACTTTTTGCTAATTTCATTTCCCTTTCATTAATGAATTTACTTCTTCTTCTTTTAATTTTTCATCCCATTACTTCTCCCCCTCCCCTTTTATTTCTTTGTTTCTCCTTTTCCCTTTTCCTTTTTCCCTTTTCTCATCTGGGCTGTTCCAAACGCCGGGAGGTGCCTTTGTGTCTGTCCCACAAAATGGCCGCATCTGTCAAATACTGAACCCTGCTCCAACAGCGGTTGCTGAACCTTGCATGAGTATGAGAACATTGACCCAGAAGAGGGATGGAGAGGGCGACCCAGACAAGACCCCATTTTTGCCCCAAATTTGGCTGAGGTGTTTCCCTGCCACCTCATGCTTTCAAATGGCTGAAAGTTCCCGACATCAAAGAATCATGGACTGGTTGGGGTTGGAGAAGCCCTTGGAGATCCCCAAGCCCAACCCTTGATCCAACTCTGCCATCCCACCATCAAACCCCGGCCCCAAGGGCCACGGCCCCACAGGTTTTGAACCCCTCCAGGGGTGGGGACTCGACCCCTTCCCTGGGCAGCCCCTTCCAGTGCCTCACAGCCCCTTTGGGGAAGGAATTGTTCCCCATGGCCAACCTCACCCTGCCCTGGCACAACTTGAGGCCGCTGCCCCTCACCCGTTCCCTGGGAGCAGAGCCTGACCCCCCCGTCTCCCCCCTCCTCTCAGGCAGTTGTAGGCAGCGATGAGGGCTCCCCTCAGCCTCCTCTGCTCCCGGCCGAACCCCCCCCGCCCCCCCCCCCGCTCTCC